CGGCTGGCCGTCGCCGGGGCAGGGCCCGGGTCCCCCGTTCGGGAAGCACACTATATCTTATCTAACCATCCCCGTCGCCGTGATTGACGCTCGCCCTCGCCCCGCGGAAAGGGACCTGCAGATGTTCTGATTATGTAGTTACGCCGCTAATGTGAAAAACGGCCTCATTACGGGGGTCTGTTTGGAGCTGGAAAATGACTGCATTATGACAAATGCATGATTGGGAAGTTACAGGAAGATGATCATTATTGAAATGAAACGGGAACTCGTTTAATAGCAGCCACCAGCAGCTGGGCCGCAGCAAATGAATGCCTTCCTGTTTTCATTGTTGGAGCCAGGGTTCCAGGCAGAAGGAAGGCTCCCGCTAAGTCCAACGCTCCTCTGAGCTCCCACTGGCTGGCTGGAGCCACGGCAGGCAGTGCTGGGAACCCTGGTCTCTACCTGCGAGTCTCCCTCTCCCCCCGCCCCCACACACACATGCACACATGCGCACACACATGCACACTTGCACGGGGAATGGCGCTGTTTAAAGACACAACGGTGCCGGCTGCAGCCATTACTCAGCAGTGTTCCAGGTCCCCTGGCAGGCCTGGTCGGGAGGTGGCCGTCACAACTCAGCTTTGCAACCGTTATCCCTCCTTCCTGCTGGAGTCCAGGCCCCGCTGTGGGCAGGGCACCCCCTGGCCTGGGTGATGGGGACCCAGCATCCTGGGCGGGCAGTCCACAGATACAGCAGCAGCAGCAGCAGCAGCAGGGGCCGGGGGGGGGGGGGTCCCACATGGAGCCCCAGCACGTAGTAGCGACTTAATAAACGTCGGTGAGTGGACCGGGCTGAAGACTGTTTGTTCGGCCGCTTCCCTTCCAGGAGAGCTGCTTGCTGTAGAAAACACTCTCTGGCCCCAAACACACACGTTTTCCAATTGAGAAGGTTGTTTCCGTGTTACCCTCCAGAGGCCCCCAACGTGTCCCCGTGCTTAATGGAGTCAGATTTCTGTGTTCTTGGAAGGTGATGTTGAGTCTGATAAAATCATCACCTACATTTTGGAGTATTCGAAGTGGACTTAGACGGCAGGGCTGGGCGTCGAAACGAAAATGAGAACTACCCATGCCACCAGGAACGGTGTTGCACGGACTGGGAGCTGGGGCCGAGTGGACAGGGGCCGGACAGACTGGGGGCCAGGCCTTTGGCAGGTTTCTCAGAGCCTGGAGGTCCCGAGGTGAACGGACATCCCAGACCGCTCACAGGTTATCCGTTGCGGTAGGATGGATCCCCAGCACACGGGCATGACTTAAACACTTAGGGTGCTGCTTCTGCTACGACTTCCATGCGTGTAAAGTAACGAATCCCCTGCGGTGCAGTCAGAAGCATTTGAATAGGAGCCCCCCGGGCGGGAGGCGGTCTCGGCGCAGGAATCAGCGGGTCTCGGTGGCGTGTCAGGCTGCGTCTGTGCGGCCGGCCCGGAGGCTGGTCCGCCGGTGATAGCCGCCTATCTGGCCTCGCAGGCTGCCGGGAGCCGGCCCCACTTGGCAGCGAATGTGCTTCCCGGCTCTCCTGGCTTCGGATTCATTCAGGTTTTATTGCCGTGTAATTTTCTTATTCTAAAATAAAAGCTCTCCAACAGAAATTACTATGCATTAGGCCGCGGCAGCCCACTCAAATGGATATTAATGCAGTTTATCTCTGAAAGGACGAGTAATGTATCTGAAACGCAGATAAAAGGCCCTCCGCTAACTGAGGAATGTTAATATCGTATGGCACGACTAATAAAGAGGAATTTCACAGGGGAGGTTTGTTTTATGACTTTTGATACAACAGCCTTATAATCTGACGTATCTTAAATGATATAATTTGGTGCCACATTCATCTCCTTTACACGCAGCGGCCCCTCTTCGCAAGACTTGAATTCAGAGCAGATCAGGGGCGCTAATGACGTGGGAGACTCACTGGCTGAGAGGCACATGCGTGGACACCCATGCCGAGGAGCTGGGAGCCGATCATACATTTTGAAAATGTCTTATGTGTGTATGGGTGTTTTTTTTTTTTTTTTTTTTTTTTTTTTTTTTTTTCCTCCAGCGGAAAATGACATTTGTTTTTGTTGTGTTTAAGGCAGAGCTTAAATTAATTTAACCGACGACACATGTTCAGAACGAGGCGCGCCGCTAAATAATTCCTCGGAATAAATGGCTCCGGCCCCAAGTACATTAATTTACGGCTCTCCCGATGCTGACAGATGTGAGGGCGGGAGGAGGACCCCCTGATATTAACATAAAACAAATTTGCTTTATTCTTCTGCATATTTCCTCCTCCTCCTCCTCCTCCTCCTCCTCCTCCTCCCGCCTTGAGCTCACCCACGGCTCCTTCTCTAATTATCCACGAGGTCAGTAAGCAGAATTGGGAAGAAGCGGGGAGATCAATACAAATTATCCCTGAGCAAACCAGTGCTGACAGTCTGAATTGCAGCATATGTTTACCCAAAATCAGGCAATTTATCTTAATATCAGCAAAGTAATGCAGTGCAGGTGAAAGGTCAGGCAATCTCTCCCCCTCATAATTACCCAGTTCTAAAACAGGAAAGTGGTATTGATTGGCCTGGCTCGGGGCTTGGCGACTGGACGTGCCAGAGCCCTGCCCTGCCCGGCTGGGCCTTGCCTTGTAAACGCCACGGGCCGAGGATTTATGAGATGTGTGCCGAGGGTCTCCGCTTCTCTCCTCCAGCCCGAGGATTGGCCGGGGAAGTCTCGGCGTTGGCCCTGGTGCGGGGTGGCGGGCTCCGCGGCTCTTGGCGGGGGGGGGGCAGCTTGGAGCCCCGCTTCTCCCCTCTGCCCTCAGGGATCCCACACCCCCCAGAGCCAGGATGTGTGTCGCTTCTGCAGTTCCGAGACAAGGGCAATTTTTTCTAATCGGTCCCTGTAAATTCCTAGGGCTCCCCGCAGCCAAGCTGCCGCCAGAGCCTCCCGCCCACACCCTGCGTGGCAGAGGCCTCAGGGTTTGATGACATCATCGCCCCAGCTGCCCGCCCTGGTGCCCCGCTACCTCTGGGCAGTGCCTGCGAGAAGTCAACGCTCTCCGGGCTGAAGCAAGGGGTGCCCTCCCCGCCATCCCCCGTTTACCCTGCTCTGAAATAATGTTGGTGTGCGGAGCAGGGCGTCCCCTTGAAACAGAAACACCGGGAAATGTCCTCCCGGAGTCAGAGCGTGTGGTTATTCGAGTCATAAGGCCCCTGGAAGCTCGCATTAGAGCGTCTATCACCTGTCAGGGCATTTGCATGAAATCAATAGCGGCCGCCCATCTATCTTTTCTGATCACCTTTCATCGGCCGATTCATTAAGTCACACAGTCATGGTGATTAGCTGGGGGAGAGGAGAAACCCTGACACGGGGAGGGGGTGGGGAGACGCATAGTGGGCCACCGTTTTTGTCCCCTCATCCAGGAATGTAACACTTTATCTCCTCTGTCCGGGCCCGTCGGCGGGGCGAGGCCCCTCCGCCCGGCGGCCCGCACCGCCACGCTCCCGCCCGACGCCCGCGTCCCGGCCGGCGGAGACATGACAAATTGTCCCCCCAGTCAGCGCTGACAGCGTCTGATGATGAATGGTTTGATTATGAAGTGGTTTTGCACGTATGGAATTTACATCGCAGGGAGTTGGGAATCGCGCTGTGTCACCCGTGGCCGGGCACCGGGAGGAGCTCCAGGAATTTGCAAAGGGAGAAAGGAGGGCGCGATGGCGGTGAACGCCGTGTCATGTAAAATCAATACGCCGGATCAATGCTTTATTAACAAGAAAATGTCTTACTTCACATTCCGGTGCGGACCTTTGTCTCCGGGACGGATGACGGGATGTCAAATCCTAGCGCGGCCTCTTTGCGTGTGGGCCGCGTACTGAGTGCCCGCCGCCGTGGGTGTCCACGCCGTGGGTGTCCCCGCCATGGGTGTCCACGCCGTGGGTGTCCCCGTGGCGGGCGGCCCGAGCGCCAGGGGGACGGCTGGCCGGTGTTTTCGGGGAGCGCTTTCCAGAGGCGGCCTCTCCCCTTCTCCCTCCGGCCTGCAGCTGGCAGACGGGCCGCTGGGGTGGCGGTCACGGTCAGAGTGTGCGCTGACGCGCGCGGTGGCCCACTCGGCGGGTCTCAGGGCGCGCCGGGGGCCGCCGGCCCCCCCGGTCTCGGGAAACCCGGTGATTTATGTCTCGCCACGCACCCGGCGTGACTCCGCGGAAAGCGCTATCTCCGTCGGGAAGGAAGGCGCTCTAATAAGTGTTTCCATCTTCCCCCGCGTCCCCGGCCCCGGGCTCCGGGCGGCGGGCGCCGGCAGAGCCATAACAAAGCCAATGACTCCTGATAAAGCTTGTTAAGCAGGCGCGGGCCGGCCGCTGAGCCCGGCCGTGATTCATGCACTGAGCCCGGCGCGGGCCGCTGATTTATGGCCACGCCGGTTCGTAGTCAAAATTACAATTTGAGGGATAAAGAGATTAATTACTGCTGG